CTTTTGAAATAAAATGTTTACTATTACTTATATATGTAAATTGTTTGATATTCTACATTTTAATTAATATACTTTTGAATTCGGTGTTATATTTATATTATATTACAATATTTGACAGTTATAAATATTTTAATTAAAAACTTTGACTAATGATTTTTGACATTTATTTTAAACTTAAGTTTTATTTAATATTTATATTAATTGTTGGTGTATAATGCACATACATACCAAAAGTTTGAGTTTTGAACTAATTTATTAAAGTTTCCTAGTGGTTTGTTTTATTAACTGTAGGCAATAAATGATAAATTGTTTATTTTTTCGCAAGTTTTAAATAGAGAAAAAAACTCTGAGTTTAATATTACATATTATTTAAAGAATAAAAAACAATTTTTATAACCAATCTTTTCTTATCAACCTCTTCAATGATTATTATTTTATAAGTATATCGAGTACTTTTACCAAGTTCATTCAAAGCAAAAATAAAAATGTACTTCCTATTTTAAAATGCCTAATATTATTTTGAGTATTGAACAGAAAAATTACTAGTATTAGAATCGCTTTAAAAACGTGGCTCATTTTAAAATATTATAAAATTATAAAATACCTCTAAACAGTCTAAACCTTTTAGAAAAAGATTGTGGACTTAGGTATAGCCTTTTTATTTAACTATGAACTTTTTATATTTAAGGTAATAACCTGAATAAGTGCCTAAATAACTACTTAACATTAAACATTTAAATATATTTTATATATATTATTTAACTGTAATTATTAGGTACAATAATGTATTCACTTTTTAAAACTTTACATAGTACATATACATAAATCTATTACCTATATTATATACCTGATTTTATTATGCATATATACATAAATACCATTACAATTTTAATTGATTAAAAATAAATTTGAATATTTCACTCGTAAAATTCAATTATACAGTTTGTCTGAAGTTAAAGGTAACACTGAATTTTTTGTTAAATGACATACAAATTAAAATCAAAATTTCAATACAGAAGTTTAATAATAATATTTTTGRGAAATAACTAATTTTTTTAGCTTTCTACTCATTTATTGAAATAAAAATGGTAAATTCTCATTACTATTTTTTATTTATTTACTTTATCGTATTGTATTAAATAAAAATTCAAAATTGACTGAATGAGAGTTAATTCAAAGTTTTGACCTATTTAATATAATTGTCAGAAAAAATACATAAACATTATACATTTATACTTGATATGTAATTGATGTATAATTTCAGGTTTTTTAAATTTTAAATCAGAGAATTAGTACCTATTCAATATTATAAACGTGTATACCCAAATGTAGATTATGTTCACATGTATTGAATTATGTATGACGTATATATTTGTATGAACTAAAAAGGCATTTTAGAAACCGTAGAAAGTAATTATAAAAGGTAGGTGAATTATTACTATTATAAAGTTCAACAAAAACTGGTTCCCTTAGTCTAGACTTCAACTTTAAAATCATAAAAGTGAAACAAATAAATTATTTGATACGTACTAAATATTGTATTATTCAACAAATAGTCCAACAATTAAAAAAAAAAAA